TGTCAGCTGCGTGGAGTTAGAGGTAGCTCTGGCCGCCCCCCACCCCCCGCAAAGTACTGTGTTCCACTACATAAAACCCCAATACAGTTAGTGGTCTTTGAAGAGCAGGCATGGGGATGAGGCACAGGGGCCAGCCTTCTATGTAGGGGCTGACACCCGGGAAAGACCGAGCCTGGTCGGGGCGGGGGGACGGGGAGAGGGGGTGGTAGAGCGATGGCGCGCGAGCGAGCGCAAAATTTAAGTCTTTCCGCTTTTCCTTACATCAGGCCTGCAGGGGTAGGCCATGTATTCTCGTCTTCGGACATTTCTTTTGTGGAGTTTCACACACCTTGATCACATAGTAGGAAACTTGGGAGTATATGGGGACAAGGAGCAGATCTAGATTTTGTGGAACCTGTAACTTACACAATTTGAGGTGGGATCCTCTTTAAGCAAAATAACACAGAAATAGCTTACTTTTACAGATTTTACAAAAACATATGACAATGTGAACTTATGGGATCACCCTCAGAGATATGGGAAGGGCCTGTGCTAATGTTGAGTCCTGAAGGTTAGGCCTTATTAGCAGCATGGTAAATCCTTCTGTGATTGGAACTCGAGGTCACACACCTTGCCCTTAGTCCCAAACATAACACTGACAGTGTAGAGCCATAGAAAAGAAGCAGACATGGGGCCTGTATTTGTGAGCTTGATTTAAGAGCACAGGGTGTAAGGTCTCAGAGTTTCCTTAGGGAATGACAAGGGGTGTCTTGGTTTGGGGATGGTGAGCAGACACGGGCGATAATGGAAGAACTGGAAGAGGTGGAGGAGATTCGTCATTCAGCCTCCCATCTGCAGCATAGAGCTGAGGGCCACAGAAGCTAAATGAGTCATTTGAAGTTACAGATGGCTGGTGGCCAAGGTAGGGCAAGGAGGGACTCAAGTTTCCTAACTTTGACCAAGGTTCTTTCCTGTGTCTCATGCTGCCCTATCTCTATAACCTAGGGTTTGGCTGTCAACCACCCCACCCCATAATTTTCCTCTTTGGATACAGGAAAATTTATGTCTCCACAGACCTATAGCAACTTTTTTTTGAATGATTTATTTTCAATGACATACCACTCAGTTTGTAATTAATCATACCATTGGTCTGTTCCTCATGTTTTTCTATATTTTTATGTTGCTTTATTTGTTTGTCATTGATCCTCCATCTAAATTGCAAGCTGATTGTGAGGGCAAAATAATTCTTTTTGTCTCTGACAGCACAGCTTAGAGCCCTTTGCACATGATGCATTTATGGTAAGTAGACTTTGATTTTTAAAAATTCTCTATTGATTTTCTAGTATTTTTGTCAGTTTGTTGGTCAGAATATTGTGTTTAGAATTGTGGTTAACACTGGATTTCCCCTTTTCTCCTCCAAAGTTGTAGCTTCATATACTCAAACCAAAAAACACCTCTCCTTTGCTGCCATTTCAACCCTTTCCACAAAGCCCCTACAGAATTAATCACTCCCTCCTGTTTTCCCAAAGCACTTTGATTCGCTGCTATTATAAGCCCTTTTCATGTTGTATCACAATTAGTTATGCATGTGTCCGCATCTCATACAAAAGTGTTGGCTGCTTTGTGTCATTTTTCCCCAACCCCTAATACAATGCTTATGAATTTGAATTAACTGATTTAGTTTGAAGTACCTTGACTTAAAATTTACATTGAATTACTAAGGGCATCCTGAACATACCATGAGAAGACAACATCTGGAACATGGGTTCTGTGCTTTCTTTCCTTTTAATTTCTCTAAGCATGACACAGGCAGACTCAGCCACATAGACCAGGGCCTCCCCTGTGTCAATGTCTTCGTAATCCTCAGGGTGCTTCCCTGAGTGTCTTTAATGTGCTAGGTGTTTAACAAATATTTGTGAGTTAAATGAGTTAATGAAAACAGTGGATATGATAATATTTAGTCACTGAATTTATTCCTAAATTTCTATTCACTGTACAGGATCCCACTAGGATGGTTTTAACAACTTTCTAAAAGTTTGAGATTTACTATCATCAAAAACAATTTGGTAGTCTGTCCTATATGGCTTATACTCTATCTGAATCCTTGCAATAAAACCCAATGGGAAAAAGTCTATTTTACATTAAATTTTGCTAAAATGTCGTTTTTATTGTACTTTAGCTTGACTCCAAGAGTGACTGTTCAAGATTCAACAAGTGATTCTTAATTACACTGAAAGAGAGGTGTATATCATCAGTTAGAACTAATTGCTGCTGGTGTGCCTGTTCCAGTGTGAGAAAAAAGGAAAGAAAAGAAAGGAATGAGAAAGAAAACAACTTTCAGAAGGTCAGAAAAATTGTTGAATAACTAAACCATGTGACTTGAGAATCCACACTATTCCTCTGTGCTATATTATCTCTCATCCATCTCCAATTCAGGCTTACAGATAAAATCTGAGTAAGTCATGCTTGCTATATGCACTATATGATAGTAGATATGTGTCAGATAATGTGAAATACACTATTTCCCAAAGGATTACATTTTAATGCTAAATGAAGCCAAAGAATAAAGTTCTAAGTGTATAATTTCAATAATTATCAATCTATGTGGGAAGCCATGGGGGAGGGTGGCAGAAATGGGTAAGGGTAGAATAGGCATATTCCAGGCTTCTCCAACTCCACATATAGCTACCTCTGCCAAGAAGACAGGAGAAAGATAATTACTGGGTCCAGAATTTAAATCTAGCAAGACCTTACAGGATTTAGCTGTGCTCTCAGCAGAACACACTAGAGTAGTTCTTTTCCTACACAATCTGTAGTCCTGGTTCTCTCTGAATGGTTTTATATTCACAAATCAAATCAAAATTTGGTGGAATTGAAAGAATAAAAAAGATTAATGAAGGAGATTTCAAAGTTTATGCACAGAGAAAAACAAGGAAAATGGAGTTAATAAAACAAGCCACTTAGTGCTTATTTCTATAAAACTAATCATACCTGGGTCATGCATAAAACCTCTCTGTCTATAGTAAATACTCTTTATGAATGTTTTCCCACATATTAACATATCAGTACTGACAGATGAAAAATGTTGTTATCCTTATACAAGAAAACTGGGACGTGTTAATTTATGTCTAATTGGAACAAGCGATGGCATGAGTTGAAAGCAGTTCACCCACCTCCTAATCCTTTATCAGGTACTTTCCCTTTACCCCTTATAAAATTCAGGGTTTTTTTCCCCCACCTACTTCATTTGATCATGGTGATTCACTCATCACTGGATCATTAGATATTTACATTATAAGATCATTATATGTATTTAGTGGTGGGAAAGAACACACTTGACTTTTAGCTTTTATTTCAGTATTAATTACACATATATAGAACTCTCAGAAGTAAATGTATTCCTGTTTCTCATCATCGGATAAAGACAGAAGATAGTTTATGGTTAGTTAATTGGAATGTAAAACTGTCCAAACTTTGCTGCAGGTCTTCAGGTTTTAAACTCTCGTAATATCATAAATAATCATAAACACTCAGAGTTAAGAGAGGCCTCAGAGACCTTCTCACCCTCATGTTATACATGAGAAAACCAGGGCCAAGCAAGGTGGAATGATCACCTATCTTTTGACTCCTGCCTCAATGTCCTCTGTACAATACTTCACCACTTCACCCTGCTATAGAATCTTTTCTTTAAAAAAAAAAAAAAAATCATCTATTTTTCAAAACCTTTCCACGCCAGAATCTTAAGGTTATATTTACTTAGCTGGGCTGGGGTGTGGTGAATAATTAAATTCAGCAGGAATGTGCTTCAAAATAAAAATAAAAACACAGCCCAGCCCCTTTGGCCCAAATCCTGAGACCTCAGAAAAGAAAAACCTCCTTGACTATGAACATTTACTAGAAGTTGGAAAGGTTTTCCATGCCTGATATAGGAGTCCACACAGCTATTTCAGAATGGGAGAATTTAAAGTCAGATAAACCACTCTTTGTTTTGTATTTGTAACATGTACTTATATCAATAAGCAATCCCCAAAGAAGGATTTTTAAAGAGAAATAAACAACTTTCCTAAGCATCATATAAGAAAAAAATACAATCTTTAAGTTTGCTTTTCTTAATACCTTCATAACACCACCATTCCACCCTTAGAGTATATTTTAGATACATATTCTTCTAAGAAAATGGGACTGGGAAGAGATTCTTATGATACCTGAGGGAAGCCTTATTTGTATAAGGGTGATGAAATGAAGGAAAATATGCCCTCTTGTGGCTTATTTGTTCTGGTTCACAACTAATCAACAGTACTCTATTAATAATTTTTTAAAAACTAAAAATACCTATATTCCAAGTGGAATTAAACTATTCCTTTGTGCAGTAACTGGCAAGAGCATGCCCATACAGACAGCAGGAAGGCATTCCAAGACTTCTGCTTTGTTCAAGGTCATAAGCAGCTGCTTAG